AATGAGCATTAAGATCTCCTAATAAAATAATTTTATCGTGTTTATAAACGCTTAGTGAAATAGAATCTAAAATCTTCGAAAATGTAGTGATAAAAGTGCGGAAGTTAGAATTTGGAGGGCGATAGATCAAGCTTGAAAATGACCGAAGAATAAACAGGTCGAAAGCCCGGTAAATCAGTGTAGTAGTTAACTTCACTAAAAGATGCATTTCGTTGGAGTTTTGTACTTCTTACTTGAATTAGTGTAATTCATTTTGTATTATGGATATCCATCAACAGGCTCTTTTTTATTTCTCTTTTGACTTCGTGGGATTCAACGGTAAATATCTCAACACTTCAATTAGTTCTATATTCGCTCTCAAGACCATGGACAGCTATTTCTTAGAATCCTTTAAAAGGTTTTTTTATGCTCTTCTTTTTTCTTCTCTCCTGTCGCCATTTGACTACTTTAGCTATTTGAACATTCATAACAGTCATAATTGTACACCATTCTCTGGCATCTTGTGGTGGTCGAAAAGTGCGACCAAAATCGCGAATAATGTTTGTGCGATGTTGACGCCAAATGTGACCACTTGCAACGGAATGCGAATGAGTTTTATTAGTTATTTTTGCGTGCTAAAACTCTTCTCCTTAAGAAATCAATCAATAGAAAGTGTACTTTCTTGACTTAAACATTTTTATTTGTTCTACTATAAAGCATTTTTCTGTGCTTGCTTATTGCACATTTGTTGCCTTTCACAACTGGCGATTAAGAAAAACATCGATTATAAGTGAAAGCCGACAAAATGTCGACTTGTTCTAGAAGAAAGCCAGTGGATGCTGCCGCATTGGTGAAGACATTCCCGCCATGAATTTTGACGGTTTCGCTTAATCAGAAAACACACTCATGTTTTATACAAACAAAAGACTAGCAATTGCTAAAACAATTCAAATTTCTTAGATGCACTGTCAACCACTGTCAACGTTAGATGCGTTGTATGTGTTTTTAATTCCAGTTGCAAGTCCCGTTACTCGATTTCGAATTAATTGACAGGGCATCACCACCACACAACCACTTTTCCATCCGGCAAGAGCTTTTAGATCTTTTATGACATGTTCTGTTCCGTAGTACCCGTGTTCGATAACTTCTCCTTTAAAATAGTGACCCAATGTGGCACATTCAATACCATTCACTATCATCGTATGTTGGCTGTCGAGAACGAAATTGTACACCTCTTTCGCCTCAAGTACAATTGAACGGGTAAAGCCGCCAACTTCACAAGGGAAGTGCCAATGTTTTCCGTTTAATCGTATTGGATGCCATGGGGAGATGACAAGACCATTTTCAAACTGAATCATTTCTGCTTGTGAATTTTTGCACACACTTTTTACTACACAAACGACTTTCGCTCCACCCCAGATAATGTCGCCTCGTCGAATATTTTTGACAAATCTTGGCCGTCCATCTGACATTGTCACTATACACCCATCCCAAATACATACACCAGCATTGTTGTGATAGGTATTCATGACCACGCGGCATATGTCACACGGTGATCGGTGTGTTTTGAACTGTTCGATGGCCTCTAGTAGAATTTGATTTGGTACCAAATCTCCTACGGTCAGGGGATTTCTCGTTATGGGTGATGTTGAGTCTCGTGATAGTCGATGAATAATGGCTCTTCGCTCGTAACTATTACCGTCTGGATCCATTACAGGATCTTCCATGACTTCATGCGTGATGGGACATATAAAACGTTCCGGATATTTCACTACTGGAGTAGTACCCATGGTAATTTTAAAGATTTACCGCTATATAGTTAATAAAAGTTGGTAAACTTCTCTTCATATACGTTGAGATGAGTAGTTTTCTTTTTTCTTTCCAGTTCTTTTTATACCCTTTTTTGCGCTTCACGTGCTGATTGACTCATACATGCATATTATTGCATTCAGATTCATCCTGCCGACGTGGCGTGCAATACAACGACACTTATTCTGTTATCATACTCATGCAGGATTCAGCTGTAAATATTCGGAAGAAAAACGTGTGTTTATTTCCGAATATATGACGACAATGAATGAAGACAACGGTGAAAAGTCTAAATAAAGCACTTTAGTTTTCAAACTGGGTTTGCAAGAAATCTTGGAAGAGACAGTCGCTTCCTTGGTCTTTTATTCCAAAATCACGTGTAGACTACAAAACGGTGTATCTTGTGGTTCGCTATCGAAATTTTTGACGAGTTATGAATTTTTCAATATCCGATCATAAGAAAAAGGTATCATGAAAAATTAAGAGGCCATTTAGATTCCATTCTGAAGAGGACACTTTAGGAGATCTGTCCATGGAAAAAACTAGTGTATTGCTATGTTAAATTTTCGGGTTATGAAATGGTTTTCCAGAGACGCGTTACCAAACCGATCTTTGAAAAATAATTTCAAACACTTTTTGCTTATGAAGCGATCCTTTAAAATCTTGGCTATCGCATGACAAAAACCGCAAGCCTTTACCACTTTTCGAGTTATTTTCAAAAAACAGCCATCTGACTCATAATCTGAAATGGATAGTAATTCAAAAGCTTCAGCAAAACATGTCTTGATTCGAGTCAGAAAAAACGTTGAAATTGCTACACTGACCAACTTCACTATATATTGTGTTAGCGGTGAACCAATCACTAGCACAACCCGGTGAAAAAAAAAGAACAACATGTCGTTCTATTTTGTCTCAGCAAATCAAGTTCTCGAGGGTGTCGCTCTATTTGGGGATATCGCTTTCATTTGTCCAAAGGAAAAAAGCAGTTAATTTTTCGACTTTCGTCAGTTCTAAATAACTTGTCACGATTTGGTAAGGAAAATAATTCGAACGACTCGATTCACGTTCAAACTTCCGGTCATAACTCCGCCATTTCTGAACAAAACTCAACAGTTCTTCTATATTCGGCGCGCGAGATTACTCTATCCGACTATATAAAAAAGTTTCAAGTATACTGCCAAATTTCTGCATAGTAACCGATCAAAAGTAATATATGATTTCTCTGTTCTATTTAGGCACACTTACTTAATTAATATATTCTAGTGATGCTAATGGAAGAGAAAGAAAGAGAAGAACAAGAAGAAAAAACGTTTCAGTGGACGAAATAGAACGACATGTCCTAATGCACCCCACACATCATACTCTTTACGATGTCGTTCTAATATAAGTGCCGGTCTACTTTATCTAGGGGTTTAAAATAACCCACGAGGTTTTTTTCTATAAAATATCTCGATTAGAGGCGATAGTTTTGTCTAGTCAAGGAAATATCACGCTAAACATTAGAATTATCACAGCAAAATAAATTTATCGGTCTCTACCAAGATAAAATACTGCTCCGATAAAGAAGCTTACCACGATAATTCTAATGTTTATCGAGATAAAATAAAGCATTGCGCTAGTGCTAATAAGCATCGCGATGAAACTTATTATCTCGAGAACATTGCAAATATATTGTATCTCAACAAAGCTAGATATTTATTTAAGGCCTCCCCCCCCTCAAAAAAGTCGATTTTTGTCAGAAATTTTGAAACGGAGATAAATGCATGAGGAGATAGCCCGTCATCAGCTCTCTCAGAAACACTATTGGTTTCTTCTTCAGCACCCTTCAGCAGCATCGAGGAACTGAATAAATTCCTACTCGGTACCTAGAAAAAACCTACCATCATTTCCCTGGGGAACTGGCGGAATTGAGGTGACACAGACTGTATAGTCAGAAGTATATGGTTGAAAAAGGAAAAAAGCGAGGGAATCGAGGAATCGACTCATTTCTGCCGACAGTTATTCCGTTCCTACTGGGTACCTAGAAGGAACCTTCCATCATTTCCCTGGGCAACTCACAGAATTGAGGTGACGCATACTGTATAGTAAGAGATATTTCGTGGAAAAAGAAAAACACGCCTGGGAATCGAGGAATTGACGCAGTTCTCCTGACAGTTCCTCAGTGCCTACTGGGTACCTAGAAGGAACCTACCATCGTTTCCCCGGGGAACCGGCGGAACTGAGGTGACACAGAGTGTATAGTCAGAAATATATCCTTGAAAAAGAAGTAAAGCCGCGGAATCGACGAACTGACTCAGTTCTGGCGACAGTTCCTCAGTTCCCACCGGGTACCTAGAAGGAACCTAACTTCATTTCTCCGGGAAACTGCGGAATCGAGTGTATAGAAGAATTGATTAGTAAGCATCATGCAGCAATCTTTTGCTGAGTAAAGGGCGGAAATTGTTTTGCCGGGGAACTAACGTTGAAAAGGACGAGGAATTGTGGCGAAATTGTCGGGGAACTGGTTACCGAATGTCGGGAAATAATTTTCGAGCGAATTTCATGCGTGTATTGAACGAACTGAATTCTTGCTAATGAAGCCAAGAATCAGAAGACCGTCCTCAGATCCTACTGGGTACCTAGAAAGAACCTACCGTCATTTGCCTGGGGAACTGGGGGAATCGAGGTGACACAGACCATTCATGTGTTTCCATGAAAAACAGGGAAACACACCAAACAAAGCGTGTAATCGAAAACACGCAGACAAAGATATAAGATAGATGACCCATTTCCTGGAAACAGCAAACAACCTGAAGAAAACCTGAGATCATCTGCAACTTCTCAAATTTCATAAAACTAATTCATGCTATCCTATACATGTATTTATTGTAGGTTATTCCTACGTACTTACTAGGAACCGAAGGCACTATAAGCAGAATTGACTCTTCTCCTTCTTATATATACTTTCAAATATCCCATTGGAACTCTTAAATAATTTCAAATTAATTCAACCCAAAAAAAGATGAAAAATCACTTCACATCAATTTAAGAGGCCGAAATTAATTTAAATTCATTTCTACTAAATTAATTTACATCAATTTCGGCAGTAAAAATGAAATAAAATTAATTTCTAACGAGGAAAGTACCCCAACTGATCCAGCGCTTTCGGTCCCATATTTTGACCTTGCTGAGACTAAGAAAACCCTAAAAGCTTTCGTGCGCATGGCCCTCCGTTTCTGGGATATGATCGATATTTTCTCAAAAAACAGCGATTTTTTCACTTTTCGAAAATGCCTTTACTCTGTTATCCTAAGGATTTAAGCGGTGAAATTTTTTTCTCCGGTGACTCTGAACATGGCCTATAACCTCACAAAGTTTCAAATCTTTAGCTACTATGGATAATAAGATATCGAAGTTTCAATTAGTGGACAACTAGCCTTCGACATCTTTTATACACACACATGAATGACACAACTTTCAAACGATATATCATGTGAAAATTAAAAGCAAGGGGTGTCCAAGGAATGAAATATAGGAATTCTCCCAATTAGTAGTAATACTATACAAATATATATAATTACCTAAGGAATTGAGAAACGACGATCATTCACTACACATTTCCTCGATATTTCCTGGACAATTCCCCGTTATGTATTAACGCGACAAGGAAATGACACAAACATTACACCCACAATTCCTGCTGAATGCCTCAATTTCTTCGAAGGAAATGAGCCAATGAAATGACAATACCTAACGTAAGAAACCGAGGAAATGAGTAGAACTGATAGTCAGTTCCCCGTCAGGCAACTGACATTTTCCTTACCGAGATAACCCAAAATAAATGCAATAGCAACCATAAACACAACCCTTTCTTGGAAAAAG